CTGATGGTGGAACATCTTTCTACTGATGGTGGAACATCTTTCTACATCTGATGGTGGAACATCTTTCTACAGGTGATGGTGGAACATCTTTCTCCAGCTGAGGAGCAGAACAGAGAGGGAATATCTGGAGAGGCTGGAACATGGAGATAGTTCAACATTTATAGGAGGCAGCACCATCTTTTCCACTGTTGGTAACACCTGTGGACATTTGCTGATCACAAATTTTTAAGTCTTTTTATAATCAGTAAGAAACACTAATTTCTGTCCTTGTAACGATGTCATACTGCAGAGAAGACATTTCTGAGTTGTCCCTGTTTTTGGCCTTGGCGCTGTTTCCACAGAGATTCAGGACTTTATTGCTAACAGTGAGGAAAAATGAGTTGAGAGGGCTACATCTGATTTTCATGTGCAAACCTGCTGCTGTCTCTGGTGTCAGAGCGTTTTCCTTCTGTTTTACATCACAGGGGGATTCTGGGAGTTGTTACAATGATGATTGTCAAGCCGATTAAAACAGTGAACTGTAAGAATTAGGTCCTAAACTTCTGCCTTTCTTTGGTTTCTAGATGTGAAAAACTGCAAATCAGTGGTGGAGTCTCAGATCAGGACCAGCGACCAGAGATTTGATCACATTCCCTCCAGAAAGATTTGATCGGAGATGGTCCAAACTCACATCAGAGCAGTAGTCAGCTGAAGCTGCAGCTCCTTTAATAAAATAAAATTTAATGTGTGGAGACAGAAGAAGGAGAACCTCCCCGAGTGGCAGTAAATGTAAGCAGATGTAGATCAGCTCCTGAGAGTGTTGCTGTGTGTGTTGGCTCACACACTGGACTGATTATCAAACCAGATGGAAACTCGACTCCCGTTTGTTCTCCACATAAACAAAGATGGCCGCCGTGGATTTCTGACAAAACAAACAGAGCGAGGTCGCAGTAATTCAGCCGGCGGGTCAAGCCGCTCAAGGGAGACGTTCCAGAAACTTCCAGCAGAGAAAACATGTGGAGGCAGCAGAACATCCGTCACCGTGTCCAACGCAGAACCGACGAGGAAAAGCTTCACATCTCCGGAGACGCTGCGTAATGTGCTGGCTGCAGAACAAAGCTGTTACTGAGCTTTCTATTTCAGATACGTTCGCAGTCGAACAATTATCAGATCCAGTGTTTTGCATTTTTCTCAACATCAGTGTTTTCTGAAGCTGATTCCTGAAAAAGTCACACAGAGCTGCCTCTGTCTGACGGCTCAACACCGAAGATTAAACATGAAATACTTTAGAAATATACTGGACATATGTTTAATCAAAAGAGATCTTCTCTTTACATTTTTATATTTGAGATTGTCTTTAAACTACTTTCAACGCCAGCTG